GTCTATTGGCTCTTTGAGGCGCGCGCGCAACGCTACGCGCCGTACGCTCAGAGGGCACCATGACGTGTTAATGACGTGCTATAAAAGATGTATAGCTCCATCCCTCTTTCTCGGCCGGAAGATTAACGCTTTAACACCTCATGGTAGGCCTACATGTCTAGTTCTGGTCGGGCGGCGAGCTACCCTTGTGCTACCCGAGTGGCCGGAGATCGTCTCTTCCCAACGCCCTGAACCGAAAAACTACAAACTGATGTTTATCTTTAAACTTAAGTGTATTTGATCTATAACCTTACGTTCTAATTCAAATTACTTATATGGTATTCAGCGTCTACATCGTAAAGATTGAAAACATTTTTAATATCTTAGAATATCAACATTGAGCAAATAATTCAGATAAAAGTATTCTTCAACAATATTGAATTATGAAGAACTGCACTGTTGTGCACGGACGCTATTGGGAAATTCTAAACATTATGCAATTTTTCCATGAAAGTATGCATTATTATTACGTGGAAATAAAGTAGGTTAGGATTCAACGCTTGTTAATCTAACTTGTTAACTGTTTAGTAAGATTTTCCATTTTGGCCTCGGTAATAGGTGCCTGTGTCTTAGCCACGTAGAAATTAGGTTCGCAATATCTTCATAGGAGTGGTACAAAATCGAGAAATATTGCGGAACAGCGCAGTGTGCTGTATTAGAATTTAATGGGCAAAGAGTGAGAAACATTGATGTGGTTTTAGTTAAGTTCAATGAAATATGACTTATATAGGAGTGAAGTAATGTAGTAAAGTGTTTTAAATATTTTGAATGCGAGATTATTACACGTTTATTTTGATGTGCATAGTTTTGTTATCGTATCTAGCAAGTACATATATACAATACATAGTACATATAAATACTAGTCCAAACTAATATTATAAATGCGAAAGTAACTCTGTCTGTATGTCTTTTCTTCACTCCTAAACTACTGAACCTATTTGTGTGAAATTTGGTACAGACATAGTTTGGAACTCGAGAAAGAACATAGGATAGTTTTTAAACCAAAATCTTAACACAAAACATGAGTTGTTTCACGCTTGTTTTCGACAAGGCTTATTTAAGACGAAACCTAGCTCTAGTAAGCATTCTGTGAATATTTCAAGCGTCTATCTGTACTTAGGCGTTTTAACACCGAGCAAACAGTCGTTTAGCAGATTGTTGTGTAGAAACTCCTTAAAAATTAATTGTTTGTATTGGAGCAACAATAGTGCTTGTAGATTTTTGAATATTACAACTAACTTGCTTCCACGTTGCCTGAAATACAGCTTGGCGACAGACCGGCGGCGGACGGCGGAACCTAAGTACTGATTAGGGTGTTTCTACCCTTTGGGTCTCCCACAACTCTATCCAGTTATTCTCGAATGTTGACGCGCATATTAGTTATGCTAGAGTTAAAACCGAAATTTTCGCGAGATGTTATGAGTCTATGAGTTTTTTAATCTAGATTCAGATAATACTTAAGCTAAAAACATAGCTCCCGTGTTATTACCGCTTTTTTGCCGACGTAGAAAAAGCACTTTTTGTTTTCACCTATATTTTAGTGGAAATATCGTCACTAATATAAAAATATCTTTCTACATTTTTGAGTTATATTAACGTACCTACAACAGATATTTAATAGCTTCTTGTTTTTTATATTTCGTTTGTTCGAAGGGACCTAGGTAGTTTATTTTCCCGTTTTATACCATATTTATGTGAAATTATTGAATGCCAAACTTGTAAAAATGTGAAAATATGTATATAAAAGATGCGTTGTCCATCTCAATCTAAGGTAAATTGAGTATCTTGGCCATTTTTAAGGTATATACAGGATAGTATATTTTATGTGAGGGGGAAAAAATCATCAAATCTCTCGCCCGCCGGTAAGTTAAAAGGGAGAGTCGAACTCTTACCGACTAAAAACCACCCGTACCCTTCCTGCTCCAGGACGAGGCTGGGGTTCCTTATAGTGCTCTGCGACCTCGGCTGAATATCAGCCCTCTTGGATCCCATTTGTAGTGTTCTATTGAGTATTTGAGGCACACGCGAAGCATCGTATGCTCAGGTCTCGACTTGGTCGGACAGCAAACTACCCTTGTTAGCCGTCCGTAGACCCGCGCTTACGATGACCGGATATCGTCTCGCGATCCCCGACACCCGGAGCGTCGTCTACTGCGGCGTCTGGGGCGTGAGATGGATAGTTCCCTAACGCGCTCTGCCTCATTCTTTGCGAGCATCACCGCTTTGTAGAAAAAGGAGACGGCTTTCCAGTTCCTCTCACTCCGCACCATGGCCTCAACAAGTAAGAATGGAAGCGAGAGGTCGACGCCACTGATCACTTCCTTGAGGTAATGGCACGCCAACGTATGCTTCAACGTATTCTCCGGGTGGTCCTCACAATGGCGACACCCGCGCGTTTTCTCCTGCTTGATCCGAAACAGGAACCTACCGAATCTTTAGTGTCCGGTAAGCACCCGCGTCCAGTGGTAGAAGGGAACCCCATGGCGACTCTAGCCACTCCTCAAACAACTCAACGGTAAGCCCTTACCGTTGCTACAACAGCGTGCCCGACAGGATAGTTCTTTACAATATCATTTAATGTCGGTTTTTTTAGCTTGCTTGTCTGTTTACTAACCTTATTAAGGAGTAGTAAAAAATTAGGTTTTGTAGTCGGCTTGTGACAGATACAGGTAATCTTTTATGATTCTTTTGTGAAGGAATTTTTATCAAATATCTTCTCTCGTCCATGGTAGGGCGGGTGGGAGTGTCACTCTTACTGACTAAAAACCCCCGTTCCTTCTAAAGCTCTCAGCCGAGACCGCGGCGAGGTTTCCCAACTCACCGTCCACAGACATACGGTTATGATGACGTTGATATTAATGTTATAGTTGACAGGATTTGGAAGTTAAAAGCGGCGCGACGCGCGACGTGGCGCGAACTCTTAACGACCACCCCGAGCCCGGTTATCGTTACGGGTAATGAGAAATACGAAGTTTTTAGATAGTAAGGTCAGAAACTCATAAATATTATATAGTTATAAGAGTGTAGTAACTACCACTTTACAAAGGTTGTTTTGAGTGTTAAGAAAGAATGAATACCAAACATATTAGGCTTATTGTTAAGGAAGATGCTCCATATCCTATGGACAGCATTTCGGAAGGACGTCTCGATTGTTTCGTGACCATTCGTGAACTTCATATCTCCTACGGTGTATACGAAATCCCCTTGAATACGTAGGCAACATTTCAAGGAAAGAAACTACCTAGAAATACACATCGTGACTTAAGTGGATAAGCAAATGCGACGTGGTCACAAACCAATAGGTTGATTCGACCAGGTCCGCACCGCCTAGGATTCCACCATCCACAACGCTGGAGAAAGAATTAGGTATATGAATAAAAGATGTAGAGGAAAGTGACACAGAGGGGTGGTCACGACCCTAAGCATGAGGAATACAACGCGTCAACGTCAAAGAGTTTTCTACGTACGCCAACTGAACCCTATAACCCGAAAATATTAGATGGCGTTAGTAGGGATAAGCGTACACAAACTGTTTTATAAACAAACATTGAAATGTTGTATAATCATTTAGTTATGTTAACAATACGATATTTAAGTGGGTAAAAGAATAAATAATTACATCTAGATTTTAAAGAAAATAGATAAACAACAATTGGAATAGTCAAAAACGTAAGACCTTAGTGACCTAGATTGGATATGTTACTATATATTTATACATATTACAATCCTTGAAAGAAGGAATTAAAACCAATTTAAGCGGTTTAAAACAAAGTACATGTTTATAAAACAATTAATTATTAATATCAGTCTTTATATTTAATAGAAATTAACACGAAAGCACTCAATAATTGACGCAAAACAAATGTAATAGCACAAACTTAAGAAATACGAAATTCTAAATTTGTAAATCGTCTAAAGCATGCAGGCCAGCATATCAATCAACGAGCATAAAGTAGTATATATTCGTGTACAAGGAGGGCCCTTCATAGCCCCAAACGCAAGTTATTTATGTTAGCGCGAGAGTTGAATGAAACAAAGGCTATAAGTATTAGCATTCTAACAGAAAAGCTCCAAGTTTTGAATATCACAATATAGTAAAGTTCACAAATATTGTATAAACATCATGCAACGCACCTTCAAGTGCCAGGTACATAGGTGGAACCCGGTGACATGGGGAGTAAATTAACATAACTTCGTCCTTACACTGTTTAAAACACTGGCCATAACTTGTTCAAGTTAACACAAAAAGCTCATTCACAACTGAAAATGTTCGACAGACATCATTCTATATTCACGTTTAGTTATAATACTATGGATAGAAATTTTACACAACGAAATAAAATAATATAACACCTTCAATTAATCGACCATAGCATAAAGCCCTTTGAAGTACGTTTGTAAAGACCGATGTAAGCGTAGTCTATGCTAAACGTAGTGGTTACATACTCTTTGGTCTATGCCGAAATTTCAGGCGAATGAACATCGAATCAAAATAAATCAACCATAGAGTAAATGAACGAACAGAGCGAATTTAACGAATGAAAAGACATTAATTGTTAAAGGTGGAACTCAACAAGCAAAAACAACACAAATTCATAAAATTCCTTACATAGTCGAAAAATAAAATATGATTACAATTTTCGTGCATTTTAAACATTTCTTAAAATTACTAGAAAATATTACTAAATCTCTATAGGTAATTACTCTATGGATTTCCATAGAGTAAATAATTATTAACAAGTTATAGAAATTATGTAGGTATAATAAATATTATTTCATGTATAACCCCTACTTCTAATTTTGATTACTGATTGAAGTACATCTTATAACTAGATATTTGGTTAAAAGGTAGGTTATCATTTTTATTACCAAACTTACAAAATTCTACTAAACGTCAAATGTCAAAAAAAATATGTAGAATATTTTAGCTGAAGCTGGTAACATTACATTGGTTTGGTATCTAATATCTATTCGACTATCTGCCATTCTGCCTGTCTGAGTGCCTGCCCGCTTTGAGTGTTAGTTCTCCTTCGTCTTGGTATCTGTTCATATCAAATTTAATTTGTAATAATGGCAAATATAGCAGCAAAACGTATAAAACGAGAGTTCAAGGAGGTCATGAAAAGCGAAGAGGTGAGTCTAAGGCATTTTTTATGGTGTTTACATAAAAACATATGTATGGCCGCAGTTACTTGCAGTTTTGTTAGATGTCATATTTTTATGAGAACATCGATCTATGCGAGTACAAAGTGCGCCCGAAAGTAATGCGATTCATCCCAATTTAAATTTGCAATAATATTGTGATTGGAGGTGTTTGTTTCGTGTTGCGATGTGAATGATTCAGCACGTTTTTTTTATGTCGTAGTGATGTTTTATCACTCCTTTATCAATCTGTTGCTGGCATATTTTTATTTGGTTTTCTTAAAAACTGCATGATAATATACTCAATTTCTATTTTTCTTCATCTGCTTGTTTAATCAAATTGTCATACCATGTATTTAACTTTGCTTTGCTGTATTTATTTTGCATGTGTTTATTCTAATCTCATGTTTTTGGCCTACATTTTATATTATGTGTATGCTTTAGCAATTTTAAAAAGACAAAACCGATTGCTATTAGAATCTAATTAGAATCTTTTTTTCCACATACCCTCCATTATTGGAATATTTGAATTCCTTCAAACCTATCTATCATTCCTTTTATTCCATTAAATTTTAAAAGGATAAAATTAAACCCGCCCTCCGCTGTTTGTGTTGGTATTTATTAAAAGAATTTTAGGTTCAAAACGTTTTGAGTCCACACATGTTATATTTGTTATAATTATGTGACAATCAATTGGATTATTAATATTGTACCTACAACCACAAAAACAAAAACAGTGAAGGTATGACGAGGAAATTAATATATCACTATCGATTTACCTATATACCTAAACAAAGTACTATATTTAACTTACACACAAGTTACACATTTTTTTCAAACATTACTAATTCCACCTTTAGTACTTCATGAAGTAACATTTCTATGAAATAAACTTTTTCAATTCTTAATTATACTTCACTTGGGCCTGTAGGTGTGAGTATGTATTTCAAGATAAAAATTCTGATTATTGTAGTCCATAACTAAAATTCCATAGAATTTGAACAAGAATAGCTATTTTTATTGTTAAGCAGCTATTCTATAGCTTATAGGTGGGTGTTTTTGTATTCACATACAGATAAAAAACACACACACACACACACATACTCCATCATAAGTGGGTGTATCTCTATGATATAAAAGGAATAATTTTACCTGGCAACCACTCAGAGGGATTTGTACTTTGAGGTTAATTAGTAATTTGATACTTGTTATGATTGCTGAAAATAACTTTTTCTCTAACATTATTTTTTGTAATGTCACAGTTGCGTAGGTAGCTGAGTTGTTTTATGGAACATATCCAATTACCCTGTAATATATTGATTATTTTCATTTTTGGTAATCTACGATGATCATGTGTGTATCTTAAAACCTTTTTGAACCAATAAACACATTCGAAGTTATAATGGCTAAATATTTTCTTTGTACATTCATATTCACATATTAAAATATGCAAAGTCAGGTTTTTTGGCACTGAACATACAGCTTCTATTTATCTTCTTTGTTTGTAACCTGTTAGTAAACATGTTTGGGACAAGTGATGAATGCTAGCTGAGACGCAGCTTTAAAATTTTTCGGGTTGGGACATGCTCTAATTAAATGTTTAATTATAGAAACTGTGGATTTATCTGTATGAAAGGAAAAACATTTATCATTAAATAATAAATTGACAGTATATTACCCAACCTTGATCATTAGTTAAAGCAAATGGATACTTAATAGCTCTTTATTGGCTGTGCATCTCAATTTATTGACTTGATTGAGATTGTTTGTTGGTCCTGACCATTGTAACGTGTGTTGCTCATTTCTGCATGTAATTGAAAATGCATATTTCGTCCATTTACAGAAGTGCAAACATTGAACCTAGGTTCCAAAGTACTGAACAATTGTCTTGTAAAATTAACATATATGCTGTGCGGCTTCTAGATATGTAAAGTAAAAGCCCAGTAAGATTTTTGGATCGAAGAATTTATTCTGATTGTCACAAATTTTATGACTTGTCACTGGGTGTTTACACAGCCGATTTTAGTCATCACCCACAAAGTTGGATGCAGCTTTGGGGCCTGGGCTTTAGTCGTCTATATAAATCCACATTTTATCTTCGAGCAAACTATAACATTTTTAATATAAAATACCAAAGAGCCGGGATTTCCACACTTTCAGTACACAATTTTTATTTTTACATGCGCAACAAATGAGCCTCACAAAATACTGGCGTGAAAGAAATTTTCTAGCGTTTCGCCGTATGATTGAGAAGGCCGGCAACGGTCTTCTAACTCCTTTGGTGTTACGTGTGCTCTGATTGCCTGCCATGTGGTAGTAATAGTGTAGGTACAGTACATTCTGGTAATTTAAGCCAAAACACTGAGTTGTATTGTATCTTTATTTGTTGCAGGTTGCAGGCGGTAGCATTAAATTGGAGTTGATTAACGACAGCTGGACCGAGCTCCAAGGCGAGATTGCTGGTCCACCGGACACACCATATGAAGGTGGAACGTTCTTACTCGAGATCAAGGTGCCGGAGACATATCCATTCAATCCGCCGAAGGTAAGACAAGGCAATGAGAAAAGTTTTTTTTTGGGTGGCATTATGAAATCCCGTATTTTCCCTTGTCGATAAGGGATTTCATCTCGCTAAGCGACACTTTATCTGAACGTAGTTGGATATTGCCCACCGTTCTGTCTCGCAATCGCGACTTATGTAATTATATAGCGTTAGCAAGTGAAATATTGGATAATGCATGCCATGCGTTTTCCGTCGTAACTGATTGAAAGTCATCTTTTTTTTCAGATTCGCTTTATGACAAAGATCTGGCACCCTAACGTGTCATCAGTAACAGGCGCTATATGCTTAGACATCCTCAAAGATCAATGGGCGGCTGCCCTGACGCTGCGTACAGTGCTGCTCTCGATCCAGGCACTTTTGTCAGCCGCGGAGCCGAACGACCCGCAAGATGCTGTGGTGGCTAAGCAATACCGCGAAGACATACGACTGTTTAATCTGACTGCCAGTCACTGGACCAATGTCTATGCTGGAGGGCCTACTGTTATCTGGGAGTTCAATCAGAAGGTTCAAGTATTAATAGATATGGGCATTGATGAAGATCAAGCTAGGGTAGCGCTTTCTACGTTCGAATGGGAAATTGAAAGGGCTACAGAACATCTCTTTAGTTAAGCATTCTCTAGTTGACAACCAGCAGAGCCAACAATGCTGGCTATATTGTAATTTGACTAAAACACAGAGTTACAATTATTGTTATTCTCCAATGAATTTCCTGCGCTGACTCAAATAATTATGTAATCAATAAACCACCTGGACATTCATGTGTAATCAAATATTAGGATGATAATTTATATGTCGTTACTATCATTGTTGATCTTGATGTTGTCAGTTGTCAGTACAATGTGGAATCCTTCTATTAAACATTCTTACGTTTTCATGTTATATGGATCTATTAAATAGAACATGCTCGGAAACTGGCTTTAGCTTATAGGATATTTTCTCGATTTGTACTTCACATTAGTTTAGGGATTTCTTTATTGACCATATGCTTCACGATGATGCAAGGAGGTTCATAAGTCTGACTTCACTCGAAAAAAAAATTCAGACCATTTTCACGTAATAATAATGAATAGTAGATATGGTGCATGTTGTCAAATCAAATTATATTTATTTTCGCACACATTTTAAAAAGAAAAATAGATGGGGCTGGCTATTTTTTTTAATATATTAAACTACTCTCAGAAGAAATAACAAAAAAAGCAGGCCAGTCTTTCAAAATACAGAAATAGATACTGTGTAACTAAAAAATATTATGTTATTTTGAACAAGTTTATGTTATATTATTTTGAGTTTCATATACCTAGTTATCATTTATATGGAATTTAAACTTGATCATGTGGAATGATAGTTTTATTTTGACTTGGTGTTTGTTTGATTCTGCCACTTTATCCTTGTCTCGAGAATATTAATTGTAATGTCATAGTTTAGGAGTTAGATAATAAAGATTCAATTTGTCATTAATATGGATTGATGTAATGATTGTATTTACTCCATTACATTTAAATAGATGTTACAGAGTGAACGTTAAGACCTTGGGGAGGTTAGATGTTGTGTATTATATCTAAATGTTGTGGATTTATATTATTGTTGCTAATAAAACAAAATCTGTTGCTATCCATTTAACAACGAATTTTTGTTGCATATTGTAATATTGAGTACTTCAATATCCCTGTGCATGTACATTTTAGTTTATACTACTTTTAACCGACTTCAAAAATGGGGAAGGATTCTTTTTAGAAATTGTAAAACAAAATATATTATATGAAATTACAATTGAGAGTTGTTAATGAAGAAACAGTTAACATTCCTTTCAAAATTTGGAATGCCGTCCTCTTAATTATAAAGTTCAAGGATTGTTGTATTAATATAATCATTTGATGATGTTTACCGTATTGAAACGTGCGTTGGTTCGTGGATATTTATTTTGAATAAAATCTCATTTGGCGTACGTTATGCTAGGATGTCTAGCAAAACAATGTATTACAACACCGTTCAATTTATTTAGTTAAGCATTCCACAAAAATAATATTAATCATTAATATTTTTTCTTTATTACCCTAGTGAGGTCAAATAAAAAGAAAAAATCTATTACGTCATTGAACCAAAAATAATTTTATAGTTTGTCGATGTAAGACAAAAGGACCAGATCTTGATAAATTGAAATTAAGGATCGACTGAGGTATCGCCATGTAGCATTGACAAATTTGTATTATCATACTGCTTATATCTTAGAGATTCAAATATAATGACTATAGATCGATAATCCCGTATAAATTTTCGTGGCGATCGGCCTCCTTTGATAAGTACTTTTACACAAGAGGTCAATAATACTAAACTAAATATTTTTTGTTCTCTTTCTAAATAGAATCGTCAGCTTATGTTCATAAACTTAAGTATTTAGGCGTCCTTACATGGTGTGTCTAAAAAGAGGATGAGGATTCAAATTTGTTGATATTACATTAATTTGTACGTAGAAATAACGTCATGGTATAAGAATAATGACGCGTCCAATATTTTTACCTTTATATAGAATTTTTTAGTCATCACCTATATTACCGCATTGCGGTTAGTTTACTAGATACGGAAGGCTACATATTCACAGTTAGCGTCACATAGTTCGGGACCATCAGCGCATTCAAATAAATAGATCCAACCAAAAAAGTAATTAACATCTGTACAAAAGTTCTATATTGCTTTCAACTATATAATAGTTGATCAAATAGACAGGACTTCTAATGCCAAACAGATGAGTCGATCAAGTAGGCCTAATAGGGTTAGAGTCGAGCTGCCATATAATGTAGGTTTTTTAACAGCCAAACCTAAGTAAACAAAGTTTAAAATTTTATTGAGCCTAATTAAACGAGCACTCGAACCTTTATGCAACTTACACATTGTATTGATGACCACATATAAACACGGTTTGTACTGATATTAGGCTAGGACCGCACTCAGTAATTTTTCTCACGCGAAACCGTTATTTTTGCATCAAGCAAGTTCTTACACAAAATTTTCTATGAATTCGAAAATTTGTGGCGAATTTTCTTTCTGACTTTTCAGGTACCTTAACATACGCAACAACGGCTAGTTATAAATTCACGCCTATTCACTTACCTTTTTATTTTAAACTTACGCTGTTGAAAATCACAGCGGCTTAACCGAAGTGCGGTCTACGCCTTTATGTTTTGGTGGCGTCTTTATGTATACTCGTATTTGTGTAGGTACTGAGTGTCATTGACTATTTGAAGTTAACTGTATTAAGCCTTGCATAAACTGCATGCGCAAAACAGGGAGTTTGAATCGCACGTTGCCTAGCTTTGTATAGATTTTTGTGTAAAATATTTATTATTAATTTTACAAAGACCACTTTAGTCATGATCAATGCATATCTCTTGCTAAATGCAACAAAAATGTTTTACATAATTGTACCCTATCTTCCTAACATTCACTTTGAAAATATTAAATATTCCTTCGTAGTTTTTACATCTAGTTAGTTTTGTATAGGCAGCTAGGAGGAGTGAAACCTGTGGGTAAGGAAATAAAAGTTAAACAATACATGTAAGAAAATTTCATGTGAAGCTCTGTCTTTTATTTCAGATTAACAACCTGTTCCTTTTATCCATGCGAAAAAGACTAATCCGGTTTCTTTAGGATATTACCTACTCAACTAGTGTCAACGCGAAATTGAACACTTGTATCGTGTCTGACAGGCACAGGTCCACCTTTGTAGAATTGTGGGTATACCTAAATGCCCACGTTTATTTACAAATTGTGACTGGTAGACTCCTTTTACAGTCTATTGGTATTGGCCATAGATTATATACACTATAACTGGTATTGGCCCTGGGCAGTGGCACTGGCACCCCGGGCGAGAAAATTTTGGCGCCCACTTCAGGGAAGCAATATCAAGTGTTCGTTTTTTGCTGATCGTATTGTTTTTTTTTATTTAATAATTCGGCAAACGAGCAGACGGATTACTTTTTTTATGGAATAGGTGACAAACGAGCAGACGGATTACCTGATGGTAAGCGATCGGCGCCGCCCATGGATATCCGCAACACCAGAGGAGTCTTTACTTAGGTCATATCAAATGGGTCAACACAAAGTTACCTTAGGTATTGTCATCAGTCAATATGCTGAAATCAAGATTTTGCATGAACTACTTGAATATTTTTTTTCTAAAAACTAAATAAATACTTACTTTCGTTGTTTTGCTTGTCGAAAAGTGCCTATTTTCTGTAATCGTAACACCAGTTATTATACTCCTGTAATAAGGAATATTGCTATAAAATGAGTACCTAGTATTCTGTAGCCTGAGCTACTTGTCTATTTTTCGGACGTTTTTCGAATCCCCGATCCCGCGAGAATGAGAGGCATTCTAGTAAAAGTCGACTTCTTCTATCTTCTGCTCTGAGCGGCCGCGTATGTCATGGCGCTTGGTCCAAAATCAACCGGTACGACAAATCCAATTAGGCTTTAGCATTATCTGGGAATCTAAACCCAATAATCTACTTAATTTGGGAAGCTACCACAGCGTTGTGTTTCGCCGTGTGAGTGAGGTTAGCGGAGGCCCAATCCTTCCCCTTCCCCGATCCCAAAATCTCCAAATTCCTAATTCCCAATAGGTGGGCAACGCACTCATAACTCCTCCTTCTGGGTGTCCATGGGAGGCACTGATTGCTTACTATCATTACCTGATGGTCCAATAATTTGATAAGACGTATCACATAAAAAAGCGGTCCTGGCACCCCTTGTTGGTCACGCTTGCTACTAAATAATACTCACTAGGTACTTACCAGTATAATAACGAGGCATTCGGAAACGTTGGTCGTTTAGGTAAGATTGGAATAGGAAAGTAAAACGTAAGGATAAATGCAGTATGGGACTATATTTTTTTTTATTTGTAATGGGCATTTGGCGGCTATCCCGTCTGGTGGCAAGCGATGATGCAACCTTCGATTTTATTTTATTTATTTATTTATTTTATGGAATAGGTGGCAAACGAGCAGACGGATCACCTGATGGAAAGCGATGGGGTACGCCTACCCTAAGCAACATATTCGTTCGAAAATTGAAGAAGACACCTATACCCTTCGGGAACACAGACTCCAGCAAAGAATTCCACTCCTTAGCGGTACTGGATTATACAACTGACTGGAGGCGAACCGATTCGTGCGTGTGATTAGAATTTCCACCTTGAAGCGATGACGTTTTGCTGATTGTCTGGTGGTAGAATGATGAAAAGAACTAGGAGAGATCAGGGTGTTTAGCTCCCCCAAGCATTCTCCGAAATGTATTCGATAAAAAACTGAAAGTCATGCAACTTTGCGTCTGAGGCCGAGGCTTTGAATTCGTGCCTCCACAAGCGCTTCGTCGTTGATGAGCCTCTAGGCACGCCTCTCAATATGTTCTTATGTGTCTCGCTGGTGGTTAACCGAGCTGTCTCATGGATGAGAACAGTAGGCAGTCCATACAGGACCGAACTTGCGCTTGGTATAAGTCAAGACGGAAGTTGTTCTGGTGTGAAGTACTGCATCAAGACCATGAAACTCGACAAGATCAATTTCCTACCAAGTAGTTGTGCTTTTGACTTTAAGTAGGAGCCAAAGTTAAGGATGGACGTTACAGTTACGCCAAATCCAAATAGCTCAAGAAACTTGGATGGGGCGAGGTGTGTGTGTCGGATTGTAATTGACTAATAGCTACCCGTTCCTTCTCTTGATCTAGGCCAGAGGCCGCAGTACATTATTTTGATTGCTTCCGCAACCCTGGCTGAAAATCAGCC